CAAATGGTCGAAATGGGTTCGGTCTGAGCAGTCTGTAGGTGGCGTTAGTGATTCTCTTCTCTTAGTTTTCTCTTTCTTTCTCCTCTTCTCTTCTATTTACTTGAGGGTATTTTCGACCCTTTGGGTATTATTTACATTTTCTAATTTTTAATGAGATTTTTTGGGTCAAAGGCCATCTTGGAAAAATGGCAAAGTTAGGCAGCTATCTGCCACCATTTCCTCTTGTTGCATCTGCTAGCTACTATGCGATCAAATAAAGAAAGTTGTGTGCGAATAGACAAATTAACTTTTGGACATTGGTGAGATCATCTAGAAATTTTTTTGTCGCTATTTGTTTTTGTCATTTGTTTGTCTTTCGTTTTCTACTGGTTCGAGACATGGATAGAAAATCACACTTAAGTCAATCACAAGATCTTTTATTTTTAATAAGGAAGATAGAAATCTCTTTGTTTCTTTTATACCTTGCATTTGATTGCTCGCAGTTGACATGCACAACATGATTCTCACAGATTTTTGAATTCATCAACACTATTATATTTAAATCCAAAAGACATTATTGTTATGTCAAATTTTTCATGCCACTTATTTGGTGCTTGTTTCTGTCCATATAAGGATTTTATTAGCTTGCATACTTTATTCTCATTTTTAGGTAGAACAAATCCTGCCAATTGTTCCATATAGACCTCCTCATCGAGATCCCCATTTAAGAATGTCATTTTGACATTTACTTGATGTATGTGCAAATCATCGATTGAAGCTAAAGTAAATATAATCCTAATTGATGTTATTCGTGTAACTGCGGCATATGTTTCAAAATAATATATTCCTTTTTGTAGATATTCTTTAGCCACTAATCTAACTTTAAAGGTATTAAAAGTACCATCCACATTGTACTTTCTTTTAAATACTCATTTGCAGCCTATAAGTTTTGATCAATGTGGTAAATCAACTAACTTTCAAATATTGTTTGACATTATTGAATCAATTTCATCGTTTACAGCATCCTTTCAAAAGGTGCTATCTCTAGATGACGTTGCTTCTTAATAAGTTTTAGGATCGATTTCAACTTGAAGAACATACGAACTAGTTCTTGTGATACTCTTTTCATTTCCCTCAACTAAATAAAAATAAATAATTTGAGAGTCTAATTCATTCGGTTTTAGCACTTTCTCCTTTCGAGCTCTTTTACTTTTGTGGAGTTCACTTGTTTCAACATCTCCAAAAGGTGTTTCTACTTGTGATCTTATAGAGTTGAGGAATATCCACTTGAGATTCCCTTAGAGAATTATTGTCTGAAGATAACATATTCTCAAAGAATTAGAGGATTATTATTTGAAGATAACATACTCTCTTCATGGGATTCAATAATAACATTAGTTTCCAAGTTTAATAAACGATATGCCTTACTATTTTGGGCATATCCTACAAAAATGCATTTGATCCCGCTAGGACTCAGCTTAGTCTTTTTAAGATCCGTGTTCTTACTATAAGCAAGACACCCTACACTTTGAAATAACCAATGTTCTATTTTTTCCCTTTCCACAATTCATAAGGAGAAATCTTAAATTTTTTAAAAGGAATCCTATTAATTATGTAACATGCACTTAATAAAGTTTCACCCCATAAGTTAGACGGCAACTTAGCATTTAATAATATAGTATTTATCATTTCAACTAGTGTCCTATTCTCTCTCAACCAAACCATTTTGTTCAGGTGTTCTAGATGCACTACATGGATGTATTATGTCATGTTGTTCACGAAAAAGATTAAATTCACTAGATAAATATTCACCTCCCTTATCACTTCTAAGAATTTTAATCTTTCTATTTAATTGATTTTCTACTTTGACTTTATATATTTTAAACATTTTAAAGATTTCATCTTTATGTTTCATCAGCTAGATATACCAAAACATAGAATGATCATCTATGAATGTTATGAAGTATCTATTATCTCCTCTAGTGAACATTCCATTTAATTCACACATTGGAAAAAAAAAGTCTAGCAAATTAGATTTCCTTTGAAAACTATGAAAATGTTTCTTAATCATTTTAAACTTAACATATAATTTACATTTATTATATTCTATGTTTTCACATGAAATCGTTCCGATTTTAATCATTTTTTTAAAGTAGAAAGGCCAACATGTCCTAGTCTATAATGCCATAAAGAAATAGGCTACATAATTTGAATTGTAGTTTTATTGATATTATTGTTAATAGTACAAAATTATATCATTCTATCACTAGAATAGCCTTTTCTAACAAATACACCACTCCGAGAAAATATAAGTTTGCCTGACTCATATGTGGACTTTATTTTCGATTTTCTCAACAAATCATCACTTACAAGATTTATATTCATATCCGGTACATGCAATACATTTATTAATGTGATCTTCTTGTCGACGTAAATTGTAAGTCTATATTTCCTTTGCCAACAACCTTTATTGAACTTCATTCCCCATTTGAATGTGTTCGTCATTCTCTTTTTAATAGATTTTGAAAAGGGATCTATCATAACAAACATGTATGGTGGCACAAGTATCATACCACCATCCTAGAACATTTCCTTTGACTAAACTTACAATGCTCAAGTTAGCAATATTGTGGTCAACAAAGTTATTTTGACTTCTTGCATTGGTTGTTTGTGTTGTCTACATTCCCAAGCATAATGTCCGAGTTTGCCACACAAATAACAAGAAATATTGAATTTCTTCTTGTTCTTGTTATCTTTGTTGAAATTTGTGGATTTCCTCTTTTTGGAATCCTTGTTTTATTTATTTGGTTGATTTACAGCATAGACTCTGGAGGTGCCCTCATGAGAATGTTCATTGTCATCTCATGTCCTTAACTTTTCCTCAATTCGAAAATGTTTTTGAATTTCTTCCAAAGAATAATCTTGAGAATTGAGATGACAATTTCGCAATGATTGAATCAATTTCGAAAGTTTCAGGAAAATCAATCTTCACAACCTTTATTTTATTAACAATGATTTGCAACTCATGGACTTGTTCAAACAAAGGTAGGTTATACAAAAACTTGAAATCAAAATACGTAGAAATAAGAAACTTTTTGGTACCTTCCTTTTCGACCTTGTGTTTGATTTTCAACGAGTAGAGATCATATAGGCAATTGGAGAGAGCGTTCAACATGTGTCCTTTACATATCAATTCATCTTCTTTTCTTTTTTTCTTTTTTCTTTTTTTTTTCCCATTTTGCCCTTGTTTCGTCTGTGTCATTCAGGGTTGGTTACTCAATGGCGCCAAGTCTAGATCTAAGATATAAAAGATGTTTAAGGTTGTAAGAAAAAACTTCAACTTGTCCCTCCATTTTGTAAAGTTCGACCCGTTGAATTTGTCAAACCATACAAGGTCTTGATTCATCATTTTTATTGTAACCATAGTCGTCTCGTTCTCCATGTTGAAACCATCATTTGAGATTGTTTAACAAAGTTGATGAAGAACGAAAATAAAATAAGCAACAAGAAATATCCAAAATGGATGGTTTTAACACAATTATGAATTGCTGTCCTCAAATGATATTTATCGCTACCAGGGTAGGTGCTTAAAGGCTTTATGACAAATAGTTTGTAGAAGTAAACAAATCTTAATCCAAGTTTGAATCAAACAAACAAAACTTAAAAAAAGAATTAAAGAACAAAATTATAAAAACCGGTTTGATCTTTGATTTTGGATGATGATGAATGAATTTGATGTTTGTGATATGTTTTCAATTATGAAAACCACTCATGAAAATGTGCAAAAAGCAAGCCAAAAGGGTGTGATACACTTCAAAGTGACACCAAAATTCGTATAGCCAACGATCAGATTTTTGTACTGAGCAGCTAGGCGCCCGTCTAGTTCAACAAAATGACCACTGTAATTGTAATACAAGCCCAGCCTTAAGCCTGAGCGTCCGTGAAGGCCATTTTTCGGCCTTCACAGTTTTTTGATCTCATTTTGTTTTTACTTGTTTTTCTCATGATTAATCACTTCCACCACTTCCAAAATCACTCCTCATTGTCATTTGAACAATATTTCAACAATTCATTCGGATAGTACTCTAAGAAAGGGTGGCTGCAGAGGGAGGAAGCTGTAAGCTTGCCGTTATTCACCATAATATTTTCTGGAGTTACAGTGACACCCTTATTGCCAATGGAACTTTGGTTAGTGAAAGTGAAATTATCGTTTGCAAGTATGGAGAGTTTTGACAGACAACTAGTTTCGTGAATTCAGTATTCGATTGGAAATGCTTTTACCGAGACATACCGTGAGAAGAACATTAATTTTAACGTTTTTTCCCCTCATTTTCAGAGCTTATGGTCTACTGGAAAATGGTTTTCAGTTTTGCTTGTAGTTATATCATTTCTTGAGAATCATATAGTGTCATGCTTGATGCGTCTTTTTAATATTGATCGATGACGACCACTGAGCTTGGCCAGTTTCCATTTTAATAAATTTTAGGTTGACTTAACTAACAAGGAAGCACGTTATTATAGTTGTCTAGCTTAGGAAGTTAGTTCTAAAACATTTCAATGCATGGCAAGCAATACCTAGCTGAATTATTGGTAGTTTGGCAGCCATGATTTCCAGCCCTGAAGTTTTGGATACCAACTAGCACTCAGAGAAACAACCAATTCTAGGCATCAAAATAGGGCCTGACTCTTATGATCGCAAATCTTTCTGGTGGATCATCATGATCGGCAGCAAAATTTCTGATGTTAAAGATCCTCAGAAGAGGCAATAACAGAATATACTCATGTAATTGATCAGTTAGTTGATTAATATGACTTATTCAAGACTAATATTGGACTCGTTTTGTCAATCCTTGTTGCATTGTATTGTAGTATTCAACCACTAGCTTCCTTTCCAACTAGAAAGAATACGAACATGCTTAATATGGTCGAAAATTCGAAGATATTGAATTGTTGTATAACTATACAAGTTATTGCTGCAGTTGTGTGTGCAGCCTTACAGATAAAGGTCATGAATCGGTTTATAAGAAAATTATAAGCCGGCATATGAATACATTCACGTGGGGATAAAAACCTTTGACATGTTTAATAACATAAATAGCAATTTGCCCTTTTTTCAAATGTGGCTTGCTTTGCTTGGCATGAGAACAGGTCAGAATCCCAGCTGGATTCAATCTTACCCCACAAGCACACTTAATTCCATAATCCCCTTCGAAATCCACAAAATTTCTCACAAATCAATCTCTTCTTCTTTCCCATTCCACCTTTCTCGAACATCGTCTGCATATAAAGCTGAAAGTAAAATTCAAATTTGGCCCAAATTCCCTTTTTACCAATTTATGCACATTCCTACAACATTATCAGATTCCAGTTGCCTATATTGACTCAACCCCTCCATTTCTGACCTCTTTTCTTCAGAATAAATCACCACCAAATTCAACACCAGAACCAGAAATACACGATGTTGCTTCCGTCTCTATGGAGCATGGCTCCGTATCTTGTTTCCTTTGTAGCATTTATTATCCTCCTCGAACAGATTTCTTACATGAAGAAGAGACGTTTCTTGCCAGGTCCTACACTAGTGCTTCCATTTATAGGCAACGCCATTTCTTTAGTTGTTAATCCGACCAAATTCTGGGACCTCCAGTCGTCCTATGCAAAATCCGGTCCCCTTGGAATCTCCGCCAATTACATCGTCGGCCGTTATATTCTCTATGTTTACTCCACCGAGCTCTCCCATAAAATCTTCGCCAACGTCCGCCCCGACGCCTTCCACCTCGTCGGCCACCCGTTTGGGAAAAAACTCTTCGGCGAGCACAATTTAATCTACATGTTTGGACAGAAACACAAGAACATGCGCAGACGAATTGCGCCTAATTTCACCCCAAAAGCCCTTCAAACCTATACTAATATACAACAGAGGATTATTCTCCAACACCTTAAGTTCTGGTGCCAGAAAGCGGAAAGTGAATCTTCTGGGTCTATTCCACTTCGAATACTCTGCCGGGACATGAATTTGGATACCTCGCAAACAGTATTCGTCGGGCCTTACCTTAGCGATGAGGCGCGTCAGAGATTTAACAAAGATTACAATTTTTTCAACGTTGGATTGATGAAACTCCCAATTGATTTACCGGGTTTTGCCTTTAGAAATGCAAGGCTAGCTGTACAGAGACTGGTTGAGACTCTCGCCGGTTGCGCAGAACAAAGCGAGAAGAGAATGAAGGCCGGAGAAGAGCCCACGTGCTTAATTGACTTCTGGATGCACGAAAATTTGAGGGAATATGCAGAAAAACCATTTGAATACAGCTACATGGAAATTGGGGGTCATTTGTTTGACTTCTTGTTTGCATCACAGGATGCTTCGACTTCATCTTTATTGTGGGCTATAACGTTCTTGGATTCACACCCTGAAGTTTTACAGAAGGTGAGGAAAGAGGTGGCTCAATATTGGTTGGCGGAATCTGGCGCCGCCACCATAACAGGGGAGAATCTGAGGGAGATGAAGTACACAGAAGCGGTGGCACGTGAGGTTGTGAGGATCAGAGCTCCGGCTACCATGGTGCCGCACATTGCAGGAGTGGACTTCCCTTTGACGGAAAATTATGTAATCCCGAAGGGTACTATTGTCTTTCCGTCGGTGTTTGACTCTTCTTTTCAGGGGTTTACTGAAGCGGAGCGGTTCGACCCGGATCGGTTCATGGAGAGGCAGGAAGACCGGGTTTACAAGAAGAACTTTTTAGCTTTCGGAGCTGGGTCCCACCAGTGTGTGGGCCAGAGGTATGCGATCAACCATCTGATGTTGTTTATTGCAATGTTTTCAACGTTGATCAATTTCAAAAGGGACAGATCGGACGGCTGTGACGAAATCGCTTATGTCCCGACTATCGTTCCTAAGGATGATTGTAGGGTTTCTCTTTCACGACGAATTCCATCTCTATGGTGATGCTTATGCAATTGTGTATTTGATTCTTTTGTTGGGTCGGGGTGTGTATTTATTTAAGGTCAAACTTGTCTATTGTGTGAAGAAAAAAATAGAGATTTGAAATGGTTTAATTTATTTGTAATTTGTAGTGTACGGTGACAATAACGATCGACCAAGTGGTCAAGAATTTTCTAAGAAATTTGATCAATGATCGATTAATTTGGTCATTTTGTTATTCTTATTCTTTTATTAGGCGTGGGGGGAAGGGAATAAAGAATTGTTGTCATCAATTTGGACTATGGAAAGTTGAATTTGAAACGTTGACAAATACAATATTTCTGTCTTTTTAATTGGTCCATGTTCTCAAATGTTTTTTGTTTCGAACCTTCTAGATACTATCTAATATTCATGGAATATGGTCACATTGTTTAGTCAAAGTTGAAACACATTTAATTTATTGAACAATGTGACGAAATTACACGTTACATGAACAGTAGATAAACTCCGAAATTACTCTCTATATAATTGGTACACGTTAATTTTTTTTCTTATTCTCCCCCAGAATCTGTTTTTTTCGAAGAATTACCCTTGCAACTAGCGGACATAATATTTTTTTTAGGATTATTCTAATAGATTACACCCCCCCATATGAAGGGGGCCCACGAATATTTTACTATACGTGGTCCCTTCTCTATGTGAGGGGGTGTAATGCTTTGTGTCCATTATGTACACATAGCACTTTCCTATTTTTTTTTATCACCGCAAAAGGCAAGTTTAAGCGAAGGCTAGTGGTATGATGTGTTTTCACTTTATTAGCCCTGGTATGTTGCAATTTTTCATTCCAAAAAATGAATTTTTTTATCGTCATTTTAATATTATAACCGTCATTTTTTATTTCTTCTCTCACAGACAGAATTCACTTTTATCTCTAACGGTAAAAAAATCAATTCTCATAACTACCGAACAAGCCAAGTTCAAATTCAAATGTGGACCATAAGTTAAATTGGTATCGAGTACAAGTTTAGGTGGCAATTAAATGATATTAACTGATAGATCCACTTAAATACAATATTATATAATTTATGTAATTGAATTTATCAAATGTAATCGCTTAAACTGGTACTCTAATATTTCTGATGTTAGAAAGCATTATGTAAAGAAAATGTTGACTCTTTGACTCGGTTGTTAAACTCATTAGTTAAATGGGTTAAAGTCAGTTGGAGCCTAAGTTCTGCTATTGCAAATTGTTAGTAGCTGTAACAGAATCAGTTGTCCTTTGCTTGTAAATTTCTTTAATCCTGTGCCTATAAATAGGATTAAAGGGCTGGTACTTTAGAATCCTGTGAGTTAGAAGAGAGAAAGTCAGGTTGAGAGAGAAATTCTCTGTAACTTTCTGTATTTTATCTTTCTGGTTCTCATTTTTTAGCGATGAGTGCTAGTGTTTTGTGCAAAAAAACACAGTGTAATATTCTGTTAAACATTAGATTGACTGGGGGAAAAAATTCCCTGCAGTGGTTGAAGAAATTTGTCTCCAAAAACATAAAATTCTTGTTTCAAAATCTGATTCTTTGCTGGGTTTATGTTCTGCCAAGTCTGTGTCTTGTTTTCTAATGCTGTAAATCTAAATTGATCAAGCATTGAAGAGAGGAAAAAGCCTAACAGTGGTATCAGAGCTTGATTGTTCTTGGGCTTCATAAACTGAATATTCTTCTAGGTTTTTGATTGAGATCTTTGGAAGGAAGTGTTGAACCGACTTGCTGGCCAGAAGTTTGACTCAACATGTCTTATTCAAGATTGGAAATTGAAAAGTTCGATGGGAAGGGGACTTTAGTTTATGGCAGGTTAAGATGAAAGCACACTTGGGAAATCTTGGATTGGATGAAGCTCTCAAGGATGAATCTGAGATGCTTGAAGAACTCACAGGTGCAAAGAAGGCGGAGGTGTTAAAGAAAGCCAAGAACATTTTTGTTCTGAGCCTAAGTGATCAAATTCTTAGGAAAGTGATTAAAGAAAAGACGGCGGCTAAGATGTGGAGCAAATTGGAAGAGCTTTACAAGACCAAGGCTCTATCAAATAGAATTTACTTGAAACAGAGGTTTTATAGCTTTAGAATGGATGATATGAAATCCATTGATGAGAATATAGATGAATTCACCAAGCTGGTTCTAGATCTTGAAAATCTTGACATCAAGATAGAAGAGGAAGATCGAGGCATCTTCCTGTTGAACTCTTTACCAAAGCCCTATGAACAACTAAGAGACACTCTCAAGTATGGGAAGAAGAGTCTAACTTTAGAAGAGGTTATAAGTGCAGCTTACTCTAAAGAATTAGATTTGAGAACTAATGGAGAGCAACCAAAGCCTTATGGAGATGCTTTGATTGTGCAAGACAGGAATGATCAGAGAGATAATCAAGGTAAGAAAAGAGGCAAGTCCATATCTAAAACTAGAGATAAGAAGGTTTGTTGGGTTTGCAACAAAGAAGGGCATTTTAGAAATGAATGTCCTCAAAAAAATAACAAAGGACAAAAGCAAGAAAATCACAACAATGGAGACTTGGCTAATTTCTTGGATGGTTATGAAACTGCTCATGTTCTATTTGTGACACGTTTAGATACCAAAGATGAATGGATTATGGATTCCAGGTGCACATTTCATATGACACCCAGACAAGAGCTTTTCTTGGAGTACAAACCAGATCATGGGAGTAAAACTTTGTTGGGAAATAATTATAGGTGTGATATAGTGGGTGTTGGAGCTCTTAAGTTGAAAATGTGGGATGGTAACACTCTGATCTTGAGTGGTGTAAGAGATAAACCAAGCCTTAAGAGGAATTTTATCTCACTTGGCACTATGGATGAATGTGGTTGCATCTACAAGGCTCAAGGTAGAGCACTCGAGGTTATGAAGGGATCTTTAGTTATGATGAAAGGTCTGTTGCAAAAGGGTATGTATATTTTGCAAGGCACAGCTATCAATGGTGAAGCTACTATTTCTGAAAGCAAGGAAGATCGTGATGTGTTGTGGCATGGAAAGCTTGGACACAAGAATGCCAAAGGGTTACTAGAGTTGGGAAAAGCACACAAGTTTAAGTTTACATTCGTTACTCAAAAAACCAAGGCTGATCTTGGATATATCTGTTCAAATTTGAAGTACTCATCACAGGAAAATCACCAGGAGACTAACCAAAATGTTGGAGCTGGAAATCTGCATAATGAGATGCAAGTGGAAAATGCAGGTGAGGAAACTGAAGTTAGAAGAAGTTCTGATTGGCCAAAGTGTAACAAGCAGGAGAAAGTTGAAATCTTTTGTGTGCAAGATATAATTTCCAAGAGGGAAGTTGAAGTGGTGAAAGGTTGCCACTGAAGATGATCCTGCTGAAGGGTTGATTTGCTCACCAAAAGTAGTTCTAGTTAGCAAGATCCATGGGGCATTGGGTTGCTGAAGATTAAAGCTGGATGTTCAACCATGCAAGGTGTTATTAGTCAATCTTGGTTTAATAACACTCATCAAGATTCAAAGATGGAGAATGTAAAGAAAATGTTGACTCTTTGACTCGGTTGTTAAACTCATTAGTTAAATGGGTGAAAGTCAGTTGGATCCTAAGTTCTGTTATTGCAAATTGTTAGTAGCTGTAACAGAATCAGTTGTCCTTTGCTTGTAAATTTCTTTAATCCTGTGCCTATAAATAGGATTAAAGGGCTAGTACTTTAGAATCGTGTGAGTGAGAATACATCCTGTAGAAGAGAGAAAGTCAGGTTGAGAGAGAAATTCTCTGTAACCTTCTGTATTTTTTCTTTCTGTGTCTCGTTTTTTAGCGATGAGTGCTAGTGTTTTGTGCAAAAAAAACACTGTGTAATATTCTGTTAAATGGTAGATTGACTGGGGGGAAAATTCCCTGCGGTGGTTGAAGAAATTTGTCTCCAAAAACATCAAATTCTTGTGTCAAAATCTAATTCTTTGCTGGGTTTATGTTCTGCCAAGTCCGTGTCTTGTTTTCTAATGGTGTAAATCTAAATTGATCAAGCATTGAAGAGAAGAAAAATTCAAACACATTATTCTAAAGTTAACTGCTTACAAAATATTGGGCATGTTTGCCACATTCTTCTATCAAATATCGAGGTGGATTAATTAATCTTTTCACGTGTCTGCACGCAGTCTCCAAAGCGCAGTAGGTTGTACAAGAAGATTTGATTGGTTCACATCATTCAACCTTGTTTGTAATTTATGTGATAATGGGGGTTATGATCACGATCACTATACAAAAATATATCTAAATTTTATTAAGAGTCTGTTTGAGAGTGATTTTGAGAATTGATTTTTTGACCGTTAGGAGAAAGGTGGGGTCTACCTGTGAGAGAAAAAATCAAATATAATGGCTGAAATAGTGAAATAACGATAAAAAAAATTATTTTTTTGGTCCAAAAAATTACTCCCAAACAGGTTGTAAATAATATGATAATGGCGTTCTCCGTGCCAGATAGAGGGTTGGTCATCACCACTATGAACTCCATGGTTTGCCATTATATGGATAACCCAATTGGGTTGGGTTGGGTTGGGTTGGATTTGATAATCAAATTTCAGCAATTTTTCTCGTGTAAACGGTTGTCGGAATTATTATAGATGCTGTCAGCAACATCTATTTTGTCTACTTTTTCTGTATTTTTTTCAATTGAAAGCTGTCAAGTGTTATTTGTTGCAATCTTGACAACTCTTTTTCCACACACATGGTAAGTTTGATCAAATTTTAGGTTGAATTTTATTGGGTTGAGGGTTACACATTAAAAATCAACCAACCCAACCCACTTAATAAAAATTATTAAAAAAATTATTTACAAAATCTAATTAATCTCTAAAATCGACTTAGAATTTTAGTCGTCTCTCTTCTTGTCTCTCGCCACCCTTCTTTGACCAAACCACCAGTCTCCTCGTCCTCGCTTTCTACCGGTACATGGAGGATTGTTGCCTTTGCTTGAATCTCTTTTCTGCCAAAATCCAAAAATTATCTCAATCATATAATGAATTGATGGTCCTCCACAATCCTTTACTCTTTTCGAATGTTCGTTGGCTGATGCGATGAATGGGCTGCATCGAGATTTTTTCAAGGTGGTTTTATTTGTAAAATCTTCTATACAATTGGGTACCTTCTGATGCTATCATCATGTATTTTAATGCTAGGGTGTCTATTATGGCGATGATAAAATTGCAATTGAGTACTTGATTTTCAAGAGTGACGATAAGG